GAAGCATCCCCACTCCCCCGCCCCACCCTGCCCCACATGCAATGGCAGTTCAGTGTGTCCCAAGCCAGGCCAATGTCACTTCTGCAGACGATGTCCCATTTAAAAAAATCCTGGGCCCATACCCAGGAGGAAACACTCTGTGCCCCTCTCCTGTGACTTCAGCACCGAAGCAGGCAGGACAGCGGAGACCACACCTGACTTGCGGGGACGCTCCCGACTTGAGCTCCGTCAGCCTCGCACTCCGGGCGGCTGCTGCCAGGAACCCTCCTGCCCCACTGCAAGCCCCTGAACTGTGCCCGGCTCGGCCATCACCCTCGCCATGCGCACCTCGCTGGCCTGGTCTCTTCTCCCGGCCCCCCACGCACCCCTCTGCCTACAGAGCAGACCTCAGAAGGGAGGCCTCAGCAAGGCCAGGCCTCCACACCCCTTGGCGTGAGACGACACAAGCCCAGGTGCGAAGGAGTCCGGGCTGAGCTCTCTGTAAATGCAGGGTTTTGTTGAGAAGTCGGCAGGGGACAGCGGGTGGCTTGGTGCAATTCCTGGTCACTGGACAGAGCCCGCTGACCCTGGGTGGGCACCATCTTGCATCCAAAGGGCAGAGGCAGCTCTGCCATCTGAACCCCAGGGCCACTTCCCATCCCTAGAATATCTTGAGTCACTGCAGCTCTGTCATATCCTTCACATCCCTTCCCCAGCCACTAAAAGTTCAACCCTTAGAGAAACTCCTGTAGAAGAGGGGCCCTTAGAGACCCCAGAGCCTCATGGCCACACATCAAGTGGTCCTGTGTGGAAGGTCAAGATCTGGGTTGAAAGGCTGGCTGAGTGGAGGCTGAGGCGAATGAGCAACATTCCAGGAAGGGGCTGACACTGGTGCCGCACCTGTGCCAGGCCCTGGGGGTAGGGACAGCAGTGAATGGGACAGAGCCTGTGTCCCTCACAGCAGTCACGGTCAAGCACGCTGGCAGACATGAACGAACGTCTTAACAGGGCCAAGAGCCATGTTTGGCTAGAAGCGGCTAGCGCAAATTCCATAGAGTGCCCGTGGAGTGAGGCCTTGAAGGATGAGGAAGAGTCTGGCAGGTGGGGAGGGTGACAGGACAGGGTCCTCTCAGGGAAGGTGGATGGGGAGAGGACCTCCGGGCCTCACTCGGTAACCAGGGCGCCGCTGACATGGCACAGAAGGAAAAAGCCCGAATGGCAGGTGGCAATTGAGACCTGCTTCTGCGGGTTGAAGGGAAGATTCTCAGCTAAGCAAGTGGCCTGAGCGCCTCTTCACTTCAGCAGGGCGGGTGAGGGGAAAGAGCCCGCAGGCAGCCCCGGTGAGGAATTGCTGGAATTGTCCAAGTGAAGCAAGTGGGGTACTTGGCAACACAGCAGGGTGGTGACGCAGTCACAGCTCCAGCGGGCATCAGTGCAGAGGACAAAGTCACAAAATCCCTCGTGAATGTGGGAGTGCTCGGTCAGCGCTGAGACCCAGAGGACGATGGCTGGTGTGCTCACTCCACGGGGCACAGGTACGTGTCAGGATCATTGTGCACAAGCTGCTCCCACCAGGAGGCTGGAGGGAACCAACAAGACGGAAAACTCCTTGCATGTGCGCACACACCCCAGCATGGGGCAGCAATCTCCCGTACCATTATTTCCCATGTCCCTTTAACTGAATTCAAGTGAGCACGGGCCTGTTGAGACTGCAGAGGTGAGGGGAAGCAGCCTTCAGAGAAAAATGAAAACGGAGGCAGAGAACGCAAGAAATGAAGTAGCTGCAGGTTTTGGGGGCAGAGAGGGTGAGAGCGGGTAATTTTATTTTGGGACCTCTGTTTCCAAAAGTGTGCTTCCCTGCTAGGAACAAGCCAGGTGCTGAATCACCCAAGTCAAGGCGGCTGGCACCTCGTTCTCCCGGGAAGCCCGGCACATCCTCACCAATTAGAATGTCAATGTGAAATGATAACTAGGGCCTCTTTTAAAACCAGTGCACGCTGGGGCTGGTGTTGTAGCACAGTGAGCTAAGCTGCCATGTATGATGCCAGCATCCCACGTCATAGTACAGGTTCAAGTCCTAGTCGTTCCACTTCTGATCCAACTCCCCACTATCGCACCTGGGAAGACAGTGCTTGGGCCCATTGGGAGGTGGAGTCCCAGGCTCCTGGCATCAGCCTGGCCCAGCTCTGGCCATTGGGCCATTGTGGCCATTTGGGGAATCAGCAGATGAAGATCTGTCTCTCCATCTTTCAAATAAAGAAATCTAAAAACAAACAAACCAAAAAACCAACCACACACACCCTCGACTGCCAGTATCTGCTAGGCCCAGGTGCTAATAGCAAAGCCCCCTTCTGATGGACACACTGGCCACATGATGGCCATTTCTAGAGCCGATTCTGAGGTAGGCACTGTCCTGATCCTCCCATTTCCTTTCCTGGAGCACCTTGTCTTCCAGGAGGGAGGGATGCTTTAGCCAGGCCATCAGAATTCGTCTGGGCACAGACGAATCACAGATGACCGGTGAATGAACTGACTGGGGTTGGCAGCATGGCCAGACTCTTCCTTCCGGTCACTCTTAGGACAATGCGGCTCCTGAGACTCACGCTGCCTTCTGGGCCCAGGACGGTGAAGACAATTGCTCAACGTGAGTCAAGGTGGTACAGGGGCCCTCTAAGCGGGGGCTTTGAGTGGCTTCAAGGACACACTGTTATCAAATAGAGGAACGTGCCCAGTCCTTTCTCCCCTGAGAACAACTCAAGAGGGAATGGGCTAAAAAAGGCAGCAGGAAGAGGCAGATTAGATTTATGAAAAAACCCTGCCTGCCAGCCTAGGCCACCCCTAGGAACAACCATGATAAAAACAGGAACTGCCACTAGGTAGTGCCCCAAACCACTGCTCACCAGGGCGGAGGGCTGCAGGCACTGGGCCCCTGAGAGCTCTCTGGACTCTGCACTTCCTGCGGGGAAGGCAGCTCGAGCAGTGCTAGTCCCATCTCTTAATTCTGATAAGCTCAGTGCTAAGTTGGGACAACTCGGCCTGGCTGATGCTACGGGGGTCTCCCGACCCGAGGGGTGGTCATCTGACCCCAGGAGGGCAATGAGGAACCAGAAAAGATGGGAGAGGGATCAACAAACACAAGTAACTGCTTTTGGTGTCTTTTTTTTTTTTGACAGTCAGAGTGGACAGTGAGAGAGAGAGACAGAGAGAAAGGTCTTCCTTTGCCGTTGGTTCACCCTCCAATGGCCGCCGCGGCCAGCGCACTGCGCTGATCCGATGGCAGGAGCCAGGTACTTATCCCGGTCTCCCATGGGGTGCAGGGCCCAAGCACTTGGGCCATCCTCCACTGCACTCCCTGGCCACAGCAGAGAGCTGGCCTGGAAGAGGGGCAACCGGGACAGAATCCGGTGCCCCGATCGGGACTAGAACCGGGTGTGCCAGCGCCGCAAGGCGGAAGATTAGCCTAGTGAGCCGCGGCGCTGGCTTAACAAACACAAGTAACATGAAATAATTTCTAAACATTTTTATTTCAAATCTCTTTTCACCCCTCCCCAAAAAGACATGGGTCAGTACAGCAATCATAAAAAGGAGATACAAACACAAGAGTCAAATGTCTCCCGCACTGACACTTACAAAAAACCTGGGAATTGTACACGAGGCTTCCAAACAGAACCTGCAGCAGCTACTAACGTCCCTCGTCGAGGGTCAAACATGCCTATTAACACAGTATGTACAGGTGCCCCGTTCTAGAGCTAATCTACAGGGACTTCCTAGCACCCACCCCCGCGACCCCAGAAAAATACCAAAACACACCCAAAGTGCATTTGTTTTGTTTATATCAAAACATCTTTCCCTTTCCCCACCCCACCCTCCGACCCTCCCACCCCATTTAAGATTGGCCTGCAAGTCTATTTTAACCATTTAGTAATTTTTTATAGTTTATGAAAATAAATTATACAGCAACTATTTTAATAAATTAAGCACAAAAAGGGAGTGGAGGAGGAAAACTAAATGGGAAGACAAGAGCCAGGCCACGCTTTGGCTTGGAGGGCAGGGCGGCTAAAGAGGACAGAGGTGGCTGCAGGGGTGTGGCTCCCCACTGGTGAAGAATCCACAACCACCCTGAGCCCATAAGCACACTCCTGTTCACTTAAGTTTCTTCAAGACAACCAAAAAATGTACAGCAGTGGCTATGCCACGGGCAGCACCAATTCGGGCATCCAGCAACTGGCTACCCACAGAGCGGTGCCTGGATCCTGCTGGTCCCTAGGACAAGGTTCTGAGCCCAAGGGTGAGGGGCAGGATGCTGTCAAGGGAACACCAGAGGTGGGGTGTCCACTCCCACAGAGCCGGCAGGAGCTAAGGATGCAGCTGTGTGCAGAGCTATGTGGCTCCTGGTGGAAGGCACCCCAAGTCTTCCTCCACCTCCAGGAGCAACTTCGATCGCAGTCCAGCTGCAACCAGACCCTCGTGCCTTCCCGCCCCAGCCAACTGCGTGGTGCACACCCCTAACCTCCTGGCCTGTGGAGGAGGGGGACAGGGAGGAGAGGGGAGCGGTCCCAGGTACCCTCCTCAACCTTCTGAAGATGGAATGGGAGCGAAGGCATGTGACACACTCAGCATGCAGGACTGGCTTCCCGGGAGGTAGACAGGGGCGGAAGGGGCACAAGAAGGGTAGAGAGGATGGGGGACAGGAAGAAACTGGGCGACACCTGCCAGGAGGGCTGAGAAGCAATGAAAAGAACAAAGACAACATGAAATCTGCACATAAAGGGCTTTCTCTGGCAGATTAGAGAATCACATTTTAAATACAACTCATTATTCTTCAACTGCAGTACCTGAGTCCCCAGTGCCTGTCTCTATGATCCAGCCCCTGTCTCACTCCTCCCAAGACTTGGCTCTCTGTTTCTGTGTTGTGATGAAAGCTCCAGTGAAAACAGGGTATTTCATGGGGACCTGCAGCCTTGAACTTTGTGGTCTAATAACCCTATAGCTGTCATAGTGGGGGGGGGGGGGGCGCACACTTTTTTTTTTCTTTTTGTTTTTTAATAAAAAAAGTTTTTACTCCCCAGGAGCAAATAAATCATTCTGAACTACTGATAAACACTGCTGCAGTGAAAGGAAAGATGGCTACATGTATGCAATAGCACAAATTCAGTGTGAGAACAGCTGTCGACGGTCAGATAAAATCACTTACCCATCCCCCCTCCACAAAGCAAACCAAGAGGATTCCCATAGGGAAAATGTCTAACTCAAAAGCTCCACCCTTACGCACAGGGGGCGTGGCATTCTCTTAAAAAGTAGAAAACAAATGCCAGGTCTCCCCCCAGTGGAGGTGCTCTCAACACTCCAACTGGTGGCAAGACTTCTGCAAATGAAGACACAAAGCCGCACACACACCTACAGACACAGAGACACCCACACCCACTTTCAGACCTCCGCCCAGCAGCCGCAGAGCTATTCCCCAGTGCCTGGTCCTCTCAACTTCAGGGTGCAAAAGCTACGGGAGAGGCAGCAGGGAAGGGAAGGATCTAACCCTATGGAGTCTCCCTGACCCACATCCTGCTGGGATAAGAGGACTGCAGTCAGGTATGCTCTTCTGGGAGCCCAGGGTGAGGGCAGAAAAGGCTGGCACCCCAGGGCACCCTTAGCCCTATGCAATCTCTCACATCTGGCTCTGGGAACTCTGACCACCATCCCCTAGGTCCCCAGTTCTTCCAGGACGAGCCCTGGAGGGGCACATACAGCAAACTGCACGTCATACCCAACCTCAACAAGGTGCCCAAGTGGGAAGGAGGAAAGATGGAAGGAGTAGGAGCCATGGAGTCAGGCTTCCTGCCAAGTCTTTCTTCTCAGGAGGCTGCTGTAGCCATCCACAGCTCTCGTTTCGGAGTGTTACATTCACTTTATCTAGGCACAGGCAGGCAACCAGGCTGACAGTCACAGCCCATTCCTAAGAGCCAGCTGCGCCCACTTATCCAGTTCCCTTCACCAAAGCCCCGCCCTCCCGTGCCTCCAGCACAGCCCCAGCACTTGCAGGAAGAGCATCTTGTAGCAGCAGGGTCACTGGCTCACACTGGTTCACACCTGCCCTGAGGAAGGTTATGAACACACCACGAGGGTTATACATCACAGGCCAAGGCCAAGGGCGCCGACACCATCATCCACAACTCAGGACTCACCCACAGGCCCCGGGAAGGGAAGGCCTCTTCTAGGCTGTGACTTTAAAGTCAGCAAGCAGAAAGGCGTGCGCTCCTCTGCCGCTCACAGCACTGTGGAAGAGGGGTGAAGGCCGTGTGCTGCCACTGGCCCCGTGCCTGCCCCCTCCTTGTGTTCTGCTGACCCTCTGCCCACTGCACCTGACAGCTGCCCTTCCTTCAGCCTGGTCTGACTTGTTCCACACGAGGCTGCCCACGTCACATCCCACACAGCCTGCTTCCTTTCACACGGGCCTGTTCTGCAGCGCACACGGAACAGTCTGGCTAGTCTGGGCCATGGACACAGCTAAACACTTCTGCCCCCAGAGGAGCGAGAAGGCAGGTGCTGAGCCCAGCTCACATCTTCTCAGCTGGTTTGGTTTTGACCGGGTGTATGAGTTGCACAGTGGGAACCCAGTACCTCAAGGTGCAGAGCTCCGCCTCCCCACATGCTGAGCTCACGAAAGTGACATCTTTGGTGATGAGCGGGAGCCGGGCTTCAGGCTCCACCTCACTACCACATACCCTTTGCTTGCAGACCTGCCTGACAACTGGGAAGTTTCAGTCTAGACCACTGCCCCGAGAAAGGATTCTTTAGTGCTATTGCTCTAACAGGGCTGTGCGCTGTGCAATCCATCCCATGCAGACTTTGTGTCTCTCTCATCTCATTGTCCTGCCCTCATCAACTGAGAGCTTTCTTGGACCATCTGGTCTACCCCGACCTCACCCACCCTCAGCATCTTTGAAGAGAGGTCCTTGATTCTGCGCCACAGTGAGTTGTCCTCCAACTGCTTCATGTGTGGCAGTCCCAAAAAGCTCCCTTAGGCCAGGAACGTGTCTTCTGCCTCACATTTTCCACAGTATCTGGCCCATAGCCAGGTAAGCACACACTAAAACACAATTTTAACTTTATGGATCACTGAAATTCCAGGCTGTTGCATATCAGCCACTTGAGGATTTCAACGGATTTTAGGCTTTAGGCTCTGCTCTGTAACCCCCAGAGGCAGGACTTGTGGGAGTTAAGCCAACCTGTGGAATCACAGCCTTAGCTAGCTAGTAAAACTGCCGCAGAAGCCAAGGAGAGAAAAGGTACCATACCATGAAACAGGCGGCCACCTCTTACAGCCTGGTAATGACACAGGGTCCTCCCCACTCAGCTGAAGGACGGAGACCAACCATTCCGCTAAAGACAGCAGGCAGAGGCCAACGCCTTCAGGTGACGCAGTTCTATAAAGGACCAAGAAACTGGGGCCTCCAAGCCTGGAGCCATCAGGAAACCGCAAACCTAACAATAGTATCCATCTCATGAGATAAGGCAGGGGTGAACAGAGGGAACCCAAGAGAAACAGTCTCATAGAAAACTTACTGGCAAAGAGTAACAAAGACCCAACTGCTCAACCATCACGACTCAGCAGCAAAGCTCTCCCCAGAGCAGCTCTGTAGGACCGCAAACTCCTAACCCTGTTATGATCTGGCAAGGGGCAGCTGTAGGAACAAATAATTGCTGGGAAGCCCTGGAACTGGGCTCCCCCACCCCATGTCCACCTGAAAGAGCAGCAGCTCTTACTTCAGTATCTGAGAACTTCCTAATAAATGGAGAACAAACAGGATTGACACAGGAAGCAGCTGGGTTGCTAGCTTGGACAAAAGAAGCCCCTGCTACCTCTCCTTCCAGAGGAGGACAGCAGCGACTAGCTTAAAACACGAGACGTAGCACTCTCTTCCTGCGCAAGTCCTTCGTGAAGCCTGAGATCCCACCGAGACTTCTCTAGGATGAGCTCAACTACAACAGCTTTGCTTCTCCCCTACCTCCATATTCCCTCTCGTGGTGGAGAGAGAGGTGACACTGACTCTCGAGCTGTGGGTGCACTTTGCCATCGGGAATCTGGATGCACACACCACCAACCTCGGCAGCCCACAACTGGAGCTCTGCACCACTCAGGCGACGAGAAACAGTGCCTCACAGCAGTGGCAACAGGACCGACGTTACCATGAGGTACAGGCTGAAGATGAAGGAACAACAGGGTTAACAGAGCTTAAGGAACGAAGTAAACACAACTAATACAGCGGCCACAAGAGGGGACTTTGAAATCAGGTTCCTAAAGCTTGTAAGGAAAGGACACGAGGAGTCACCACTTCCCCCAGCAAAGGCCATTTGTCAGTTTTGTCTAATAACCTTTTCTTCAAGACCCTCCTTTCTCTCCTGCTCCTCCTGAAGCCACCTATGGCAGAGGAGCAGAGTCCCTTCCTTCAGAAACCTCCCATCCTGCTTTGAACTCCTCTGGATCCTCCCCCATCTTTGAGGTCCCTGGTGAAGGCTCAAGTCTGCCTCTGGCATCAGCTGAATGGCTGCATCTTCTCCTCCCGCCCCTTCTTTGGACCTGCTCACCCTTTGCACCACCTCCAATTTAACGGACACAAACCCCCAACTGCCTTCAAAGTGAGTTTCACATACTGAGAAATAAAAATATTAAAAACAAAACTTCTGGGGGGAAAAAAAAACAGTGTTGAGACTTCTTCCAGTTTTGCAAGGAGCTCATTCAGTCCCAGGACACCACAGGGGTGGATGTGACGGCGGAGCTCCCACTCCCAAGTGACGGCTGTGTGCTTGCTCCAAGCCCCAGGACTGGAGGGAAACCCAGCTCTCTGCGCAGAGAATCCCAGCCCTTCCTATTCCATCTTGCTCTTCCTCATTCTCTTCATGGTAACTTCATCTGGTTCTTCAAAATCAGAGCTTGGCAACCAAATGCCTAGGTAAAAAAGAAAAAAGAATTAGCATAGTTCAACAGTATAGAACCAAAATGAAGCAAAAGAACAGCTAGTTGCTAGAGCTGGTGAAACCTGGCTCAGAAGGAAACTAGAGCCTGTATGGCCAAATACACCCACTGTGCCGCCTAGGATGGAGCAATAGCCCCTGTCAGGGAGGTCTGGCCAGTCTATGACTTGGAGGCCAAACCAAGGTCCTGAAATAAATAAATCCTACGGCACTGTCTTCCATTCACTTTCCCTTACCCTGACCTCTTAACTTCCCACCCACTTCCCCTGCCCCCCACCCCCACAAGGCGCACCTACTCTAGGGACTAGAAAGGGAAGTGATCCCTGGAGTAACCTCTGTGAACCCAGCCCGAGGTGTCTGCAGCTTCCTTTGAACACTGAGGAGGACTGACACAGAATCACAACGACCAGAGCAGCTGCCCTCCTCTCACCTGAGACAGGCACTGCTCTGCTCCTCTGCCCTGACCCCAGGCGCTATGGCAGGAAAGCTCCAGGCGATGGCATGCACAGACCAACAAGGTCATGAACTCCCAAATTACGCCGGCCTGATCAATAAGAAGTCGTAAGAGCCTTTCCCTTGGGAAGTATGATTTCTCTCTTCTTAAGGGGCTCAAGAGGGGCCACTGCTGCAGCATAACAGGTTAAGCCACCACCTGCAAAGCCAGCATCCCATATGGGTGCCAGGTTGAGTCCCAGCTGCTCTACTTCTGATCCAGTTCCCTGCTAATGCACCTGGGAAAGCAGTGGAAGATGGCCCAAGTCCTTGGGCCCCTGTACCCACATTGGAAACCTGGAAGAAGCTGCTGGATTCAGCTTGGCCTAGCCCAGCTCTGGCTGTTGCAGCCATTTGTGGAGTAAAGCAGCAGATGGAAGATCTCTGTCTCTCCCTCTCTCTGTAACTCTGCCTTCCAAATAAAAAAATAAATAAATAAATAAAATTTTTTTTTTTAAAGAGGGGTGGAGAGGCCAGCACTATGGCATAGTGGGTAAAGCTGCTGCTTGCAGTGCTGTCATCCCATATGGGCACCGGTTTGAGTCCCGGCTGCTCCACTTCCAATTCAGCTCTCTAGGAAAGTAGTAGAAGATGGCCCAAATCCTTGGGCCCCTGCACCCATGTGGGAGACCCAGAAGAAGCTCCTGGCTCTGGATCAGCACGGCTCTGGCTGTTGCAGAAGACAGAAGACCTCTCTCTCCCTGCCTCTCCTTTTTTTTTTTTTTTTTTTTTTTTTTTTTTTTTAAGATTTATTTATTTGTTTGAAAGTCAGAGTCACACAGAGAGAGGAGAGACAGAGAGAGAGAGAGGTCTTCCATCCAATGGTCCACTCCCCAAATGGCCTCAATGGCTACAGCAGGGCCAATCCAAAGCCAGGAGCCAGGAGCTTCTTCCGGGTCTCCCATGAAGGTGCAGGGGCCCAAGCACTTGGATCATCTTCTATTGCTTTCCCAGGCCTTAACAGAGAGCTAGATCGGAAGTGGAGCAGCTGGGACTCAAACCAGCGCCCATATGGGATGCCGGCGCTTCAGGCCAGGGCATTAATCCGTTGCACCACAGCGCTGGCCCCTGCATCTCCTTCTCTGTGTAACTCTTTCAAATAAATAAAATAAATCTTTAAAAAAATATATATATATATTATGTATATATATATATATAAAAGGAGGGGTGGGCTCCAAGGTCTCAACCTGGAGCAAGTATAGTATTATGCTTATTCTTTGCCATAGGCAACAATCTTAATATCACAGCAAAAAGGGACACTTTGTAAGTTCTGTTAAAATCTTTGCCAATAAATGATTGCCCCCAGTAATCATGACAGATGGTGACCCTGTATCTGACCATATCATGCTCCTTCCAGTCTCAGGCAGGGTCTTACATGAATAGGTCTCCTTTCCCAGAAAGCTCTGCCCCAATATCCTTCTTTGGCTGTCTTCTTGATGTTCAGATTTCAGCTGAAGTGTCACCTCCTCAAGGCCTTCCCTAAGCAGCACCCTGCCACTAGTGCAGTCATTCCAGCCATCTAAGGAGTCAACCAGCAGATGGAAGACCTCTCTCTCACTCTGTCTCTTCCTTTCTGTAACTCTTTCAAATAAATAATAAAAAATAAACAAATAAAAGGTTCTTCTAGGGGTGGGCATATAGTGAAGCAGTTAGGATCCCACTTGGAACACCCACAACCCATTATGAGAGTGCCTGGGTTTGAGTTCCAGCTCCATTTCCAATTCTAGCCTCCTGCGAATGTGCATCCTGGAAGACAATGGGTCAAGTCTGGGTCCCTGCCACCCACATGGGAGCATTTGAGGAGTGAACCAGCAGACGGAAAATTTCTCTTGCTTTGTCTCTTTCAAATAAAATGAATCTATACATATCTTTAAAAAAAAAAAAAGGTTCCTCTAGAGTTGGACTGAAAACATTTTTTAAAGATTTTATTTATTTATTTGAGAGTTACAGTAACAGAAGAAGAGAGGGAGAGAGAGAGAGGTCTTCCATCGCTAGTTCACTCCCCAAATGGCCACAATGGTTGGAGCTGGGCCAATCCAAAGCCAGGAGCCTGGAGCTTTTTCCAGGTCTCCCAAGTGGATGCAGGGGCCCAAGCACTTGGGCCATCTTCTTCTGCTTTCCCAGGCCACAGCAGAGAGCTGGGTTGGAAGAGGAGCAGCCGGGAACTGAACCGGCGCCCATGTGGGATGCTGGTGCCATTATGTCACAGTGCTAGCACCCCTAGACTGAAAGTTTAACTGCTGGCAGCTTTACATTCATTTTGGTTTTGGTCCTTGTTCCGCTCCCTGAAACCATGCAGAGTAAGCTTAATCACTGTCCTGAGAAAAAACCGACACCCCACCACTTCCCTGCTCCAGGTTAACTCTACCTCTGGTCCCTTCATTTATGCACCACCCCGAGGCTTTTCTCAGAATGTGCTATTTGTGCGGATGTCACCTCAAGCGCAGCGAGCACAGAACTGCCGTTCCTGAAGGGTCCTAATTACCCCGCAAGAGTCAGCAGGAAGATGGACATCCCTAGTTCTCCTCTATCTTCCCGCTCTCATCTCAGCTGCAAAGCTGCTACACAGAGAACGCTTCCTAGACAGGACAGAATCTAGATGTTTAAGGAGTCACTTTAAGGCCTATGATTTACATATAGTTGAAGATGTGACAAGAGCCCAGACACCCAGTCCAAAATCCTTCAAGTTAAAACTAAAATTCTGCAGCTTCCCAGAGTTACCACTTTATAATCTCTCTTCCTCATTCCTTCCCCCTTTGTTAATCTTTACTAGCCTGGCTCACATAGTTTCCCATAAAAGCACAGAGCAGAGACTTCCAGAGCCAAGAAGAGACATTCAGCTAGGTTCACCTTAGCCACGGCTAAAGAAAACCCATGGGACATAAACACCAGTTGTCACTCTCTCCCACCGGAAAGGCAGCAGAAAGGCTGAAGGGATTACAGAATGCTTGTCACTGTAAGGCCACAGTTTCTGTGAGTTTTCTCTTAACTTGTTTTGTGTGGCGAGAGGACTGAGGAGGAGGGGTTAGAGGAGAAGCAGCATTCATTGCTTAGAAACGACTCCATACTAGCAGGAGAGAGGGGGCCACTGAACATGGGTTGTAGCTCCCAGAATACCAGCTCTCACTCATACGTAGCCAGCACCACCCAAATCACAGCTCCTGGAACTGTGTTTCCTACTTGCCTTGACCTTTCAACTGGTCACTGTAATGCAACTGAAAAGACTATCAAATTCTCTGCTTGTTTTTGAAAAGATTTGTTTTTATGAAAAAACAAATGAGTAGAACTTAGTGTAGCAATGGGAGAACAGATTCTTAAATAAATGAATTCCTTAGTTAACTCAATTTTCTCTTGAACAATTTACTTTGCAGTGGCCCAAACAGAAAAAAGGCTGTTTTTCCTCATCCTTGAGTTCCCAGTTCTCATGGTGCAGCTGGCACTGAAGTGCGTGCCTACTGCACTCAGAGGCAGGTTTACATTCCTTTTGATGAGATTTTCTTCACCTTTGGTTTCCTGCTCGCTATTTCATTTGTGCAATACCAGGGAAATCATCCAAAATAAGTACGAGAGAAGGCTGCACACTTGGCTACATGTGTGTGTCCTCCTCCTTATTTACAGTCAGTGATTAGCTTGCACAATTGCTTGGCAAATATTCTTTAAAGCTTTCAGGTCTGTCTGCTTTTCTAACAGATAGGGCATGTGCTCCTGGGGGACCCCATTATCAGATCTGGTAACTCTATGGGCAGATGCCTGGATTAGGGGTATCCAGAGGTGTGTGTGTGTTGGAGAAAGTGAGCAGGGCACATACCCTCAGTGGTAACCAGCAGGGGGCCCCTCGCTACGTGGAGGGTTCCACCTCTTGTTTCTGTTTGGAAATGAGCTGCGCTTCCTTTAGAGACAAGTACACCTCTTCCTGAGGATCATAGTAGTAGAACTTCCGGATATAAGAGATCAGAGGTCTGCAGAAGACAAACAAGGAAAATACAGAGTGTTATTTATACCGAGCAGAGGAAATAACCTCTTCATTCAACCCCTCCTTTTTTCCCCATATGGCTGAGACTGTAGCAAAGGCTGCTGAACTAACCAAATTCCCATTTTCTCACTTGTTCTAGTTCTGTCTCCCTCCCTCTTACCACTTCCTCTCCAATCTTCGTAGAGATTACAGAAGGGAGGCCAATATACACACCTTCCTCCCTTCTGGCTGCAATGTAACAGCGCCAGAGTGAGGTGCTAAGACACAGGAGAAGTGGAAGGAGGAGGCCTGTGAAGATTGTATGCCAGGCTCTGCCTGTGGAAGCAGCTTGCAGGTCTCACTGACATTTGGAACTAACTCCCCTCCCAGCCCCAACCACAGCGATCCCTTTGTACTTAGGCAGTGGGAGATCCGGGATGTGATCTATCCGGACAAGCTGTCGGATCCGGAATCTGCAAAGGTGCTGGAGGGATTTGACGTTGCTGAATCGGGACACTGGATAGAGCAGCTGGACTGGAGTTGGTGGCAGTCCTTCAAGAATGAAAACAAAGGGAAACATTCAGAGGGAACAATGCAGCTAAATACAACTACCTTAATGAAGATAATTCAGGGGGAAGAAAAGGTGCTCGCGTACATATATATAGCCCATATACACACTCTGTGCAAAAGCCCTTCCACAAAGAGCTGTTGATTCGAAAAGCACCACTACTGGAGCTGGTGGTGTGGTGCAGTGGGTTAAGCAGCAGCCTACAACACCATGGCATCCCATATGGGCACTGGTTAGTGTCTCAGCTGATCTGTTTCAAATCCAGCTCCCTGCTAATGTGCCTAGGAAAGTACTTGGGCCTCTGTCACCCACGTGGGAGACCTGAACCTGAATGGAGTTCTTGGCTCCTGGCTTCAGCCTGGCCCAGCCTTGGACATTGTAGCCATTTGGGGAGTGAACCTGGGAACTCTCTCTCTCTTCCCTTCTCTGTCACTCTGTCTTTCAAATAAAAAAAATTTTTTTTGGAGGGAGCATATTAGTAAAGTCAATCTGCCATCAAATAAATTTAATAAATTTTTTCTTTTAAAGGCATCACTACCATGTATCAAACTCAAGGCAAGCTCTTCTGTGCTGTGGAGGGCTGCCTAGCATCACTCTAGCACGGAGGCTCGCCCCTCAGAACAGTTCAATGACTGATGTCACACGAGAGACTTTGCTTGGAGCCAAGTGGTCAATCCCAGGCCTGAGGCTCTCAGGGGAGGACAAGAATCAAAAGCATCGGTTGGGAATGGGAGATACTTGTCTAGCATTTCTAGCAGTACCCTCAAGGTGAGGCCTCAGTAAGGCTGTTCCAAGGGATCTCCACGAAATTCCAACTGTTAAGTAGAAGGCAACACCTGAGATTAACGATGAGAAGCCTATCTATACTCGCCACTATTTCCCGCCAGAACAGGTTTTATAGCCTCTTATCCTCCCCTCTCCCCCATCTTCCTGCTTCTGAAATTTCAGGCCAGGTTATAGAAGCAGGGGAGGAAAAAAAAAAGAAAAAGATGATGCTTTTAAAAGAAAGCTAAAATAGCCTGGGCAAACTGGGATTAGTGCACTCAGTGTGAAAGCACCACACCCTCGTGCATTGGCAGGCTCTGTGCTCCAGATCTTCACCCTTGAAGGGCAAAGGTAATAGAATGGAGACACGGAGAATAGCAAGGACACTGAACCACATTCAAGGAAACTAGGAATATCCTGGCTTCAAAAAACAAAGGAGGAGGGAGGGTGGCCTTGTGACACAGCAGACAAAGCCACTGCCTACAATGCTGGCATCTCATACAGGCGCTGGTTCATGTCCCAGCTGCTCTACTTTGGATCTGACCCCCTGCTAATGGCCTGAGAAAGCAGTGGAAGATGGCCCAAGCCCTTGGGCTCCTGCCACTCATGCGGAAGACCCAGATGAAGTTCCTGGTTTCTGGCTTCAGCCTGGGTCAGCTCTAGTGGTTGCAGCCATTTGGGGAGTGAATCAGCAGTGGAAAATCTTTGTCATTTCTTCTCTCTCTGCAACTCTTTCAAATAAATAAATAAATCTAAAAAAGGAAAGGAAAGAAAAGGGAAAGGGAAAGGGAAAGGGAAGGAAAGGAAAGGAAAGAAGCAGGGGAGGGCTATGGAAGGTAAACAAACTACTTTGAGAAGAATCTGAGCTTTGAAAATCTTGAAAAGGGGGCCTGGCATGGCATTGAGGCGTAGTGGGTAAAGCTACCACTTGTGGTGCTAGCATCCCACTTGGGTGCTGGTAATGCACCTGGGAGAAGCAGTGGAAAATGGCCCAAGGGCTTGGGCCCCTGCACCCACGTGGAAGACCTGGAAGAAGCTCTGGGCTCCTACTTCAGATCAGCCCCTCTCCAGCTATTGCAGCCATCTGGGGACTAAACAAATGAGAGTTCTCTCCCTCTGTCTCTCTTCCTTTCTGTAACTCTGCCTTTCAAATAAATAAAAAATAAATCTTAAAAGAAATTCTGTAGATATAACTGGTTGGAAAATAAAATATATCCTATTATTGGGGTTTAATTTCAAGTAGTTTTAAAATTTTGTTTGAAGAGGAAAAAAAGCTTACAGATTGCCTCCCAAAGCCTTTTCATGGTCACTGACAAGTGACTTAAAATCGTAACAAAAACAACTACAAATTATACCATTACTAAACAAGTAAACTTTTCTTAAAACATTTAATTCATTTAGTCTTAAAACTATATATGAAGGGTGGGTGTTTGGCACCTGTTAAAATGCACATGGAATGCCTGGGTTCAAGAACCAGCTCTGCTTCCATCCAGTTTATGTGCACCTTAGGAGGTAGGAGATGATGGCTCAGGTACCTGAGTCTCAGCCACCCATGTGGGAGACCAAGACTGAGTTCCAAGTTCCTGGTTTCAGCCAGGCACATCCCTGGCAGTTGGGGGCACTTGGGGAGTAAATCTGCACATGGAAGATCTCTTTAACTTTCAAATGTAAATTAAAGAGCAGGGGTAAAGTTGCAGCCTGCTCCACTTCTGATAGAGCTCCCTGCTACCTTGCTAATTCTCTCTCTCTGTGTATTATTTCCCCTAACTCCACCTTTAAAAAAAAAAAAAACCCACAGAACTATACTTTGACATAGATACCACCATTCCCATTTCACATATGAAGAAGCTGAAGCCCACTGAGCTTGGAGAACTTGCTCATGGCACTGAACCAATAAAGCCCACCTGCTTTGAGTATCTACAGAAGATGCTACAGAAGAGTTATCTGTGGCTCCGCCACAGGCCAGGGAAGCCCTCAGGAGTGTCCCCAGACTGCCTGCCCCTTTGACAGAGAGGCTGCCCACACAGCCATAGCACCTTATTCAAGACCAGCCTTTCTCAGTCCCCCTTCTCTCTCTCTCTTCCTCCACTGCAAGCCTAAGGCTCATATTTTGAAGAACTATAACCCTACTCCACCCACGTGGATGGTCCTCTCCATTTAAAAGAAAGAAAAAATTCACACATGAATTTCTCTCTTGAATATACTGAACTCAATGGTTTTTTTTTTTTTTTTTTTTTTTTTTTTTTTTTTTTTTTTGACAGGCAGAGTGGACAGTGAGAGAGAGAGAGACAGAGAGAAAGGTCTTCCTTTTTGCCGTTGGTTCACCCTCCAATGGCCGCCGCGGCTGGCACGCTGTGGCCGGCGCACCGCGCTGATCCGATGGCAGGAGCCAGGAGCCAGGTGCTTTTCCTGGTCTCCCATGGGGTGCAGGGCCCAAGCACTTGGGCCATCCTCCACTGCACTCCCTGGCCACAGCAGAGGGCTGGCCTGGAAGAGGGGCAACCGGGACAGAATCCGGCGCCCCGACCGGGACTAGAACCCGGTGTGCCGGCGCCGCAAGGCGGAGGATTAGCCTATTGAGCCGCGGCGCCGGCCCTGAACTCAATGGTTTTAAAAAATGATTTCGCGGCGCCGGCCCTGAACTCAATGGTTTTAAAAAATGATTTTGCCGGCGCCGCGGCTCACTAGGCTAATCCTCCGCCTTGCGGCGCCGGCACACCGGGTTCTAGTCCCGGTCGGGGCGCCGGATTCTGTCCCGGTTGCCCCTCTTCCAGGCCAGCCCTCTGCTGTGGCCAGGGAGTGCAGTGGAGGATGGCCCAGGTGCTTGGGCCCTGCACCCCATGGGAGACCAGGAAAAGCACCTGGCTCCTGGCTCCTGCTATCTGATCAGCGCGGTGCGCTGGCCGCAGCGCGCCGGCCGCAGTGCGCCGGCCGCGGCGGCCATTGGAGGGTGAACCAACGGCAAAGGAAGACCTTTCTCTCTGTCTCTCTCTCTCCACTCTGTCAAAAAAAAAAAAAAAAAAGAAAAAGAAAAAGCTTTTGGGTTGTTCCAATGCTTCTTTGCTTCTTTGGATTTGTCTTTTCCCTCATAGGTATTCACATTTTTTAAAATTTTTAAAAAATTTATTTATTGGAAAGGCAGAGTTAGAGAGAGGCAGAAGCAGAGAGACAAACAGAGATATCTCAAACCAGTGCCCATTACTCCTGCACTGCAGGTGGCGGCTTTACCTGCTATGCCGCAGCACCGGCCCTGTACACAGATATTTTGACAAAAATATGGATTACCAGTAATGAACTTACTGAAAAAAGCCAAAGAGGGGCTGGTGCTGTGGCACAGCGGGTAAAGCCTCCACCTGCAGTGCCAACATCCCATATGGGTGTCGGTTCAAGTCGCGGCTGCTCCACTTTCTTTTTTTTTTTTTTTTTTGACAGGCAGAGTGGATAGTGAGAGAGAGAGATAGAGAGAAAGGTCTTCCTTTTGCCGTTGGTTCACCCTCCAATGGCCGCCACGGCCGGCGCGCTGCGGCCGGCGCACCGCGCCGATCCGAAGGCAGGAGCCAGGTGCTTCTCCTGGTCTCCCATGGGATGCAGGGCCCAAGCACTTGGGCCATCCTCCACTGCCTTCCCGGGCCACAGCAGAGAGCTGGTCTGGAAGAGGGGCAACCGGGACAGAATCCGGCGCCCCGACCAGGACTAGAACCCAGTGTGCCGGCGCCACTAGGTGGAGGATTAGCCTATTGAGCCGCGGCGCCGGCCACGGCTGCTCCACTTTCAATGCAGCTCTCCTCTGCTGTGGCCTGGGAGGACAGTGGAGAATGGCCCAGGTCCTTGGGCTGCACCCAAGTGGGAAACCACTCTGGGGAGTGGGCCAGCAGATAGAAGACCTCTCTCTCTCTCTCTCTCTGCCTCTGTAATTTTGTAATCTGCCTTTCAAATAAATAAATACATCTTAAAAAAAAAATTTGTCCAGGGGCCAAAGTTGTGGTGCAGTGGGTTAAGCTGCTGCTTGCAATGCCAGCATCCTGGTAGGAGTGCTGGTTCGAGTCCTGGTTGCTCTGCTTCAGATCCAGCTCGCTGATAATGCGCCTGGGGAAGCAGAAGATGGCCCAAGTACTTGGGCCCCAGACACAGATGGGAGTTCCAAGCTCCTGGCTTCAGGCTGGGACAGCCTTGGCCACTGTGGCCATTTAGGGAGTGAACCAATGACTAGAATATCTCT